GTATGGCATGGCATGGATTCGACCTAACCGCAACATGGCGAGGGGTGTTGGAGGGGTATTCGTTAGTGCTTCTTGTAGACTTGGGGTGGCCGGCGCAGGCTTCGGGTGAAATGATTGACTGCATCAGCCTACAGCTACAGATGAGCGTGAGGAGAATGAGATAACTAGATCCGCCTATTGATTGGTCGCGGAGACAGAGTTGCCTCCTGGTTGGTATGCTCTCATTCCCTCTCCCTTCACACACGCAAGCATGTGTATGCGTGTATCTCGTCTCGATTGTGGGTCTTGTATTTTTCTCACTTTTCCATTCTGCTCTTGGTTCTCTTCCGCAACTCTTCTTTTCCGTATATATGCGCCTTGTGTCTCTTCACACAGGCAACCGGACGCCTCAACGGTCTCGTGCAAGGACACAAATACACGTGAACTAACATACACACACACACACACATACAGACAGCAATCGACCACGCGTGTCAGTGTAGATAAGGTCAGGTCTACAGTCGGTCTGTTCGTGCCATGGTAGACCGACTGATTGACATGCACACAGTGTATAGACTGGTCTGGAAATGTGCGTCTTCGCGCGAGAATTGGTAGCCACACAGGCAAACACACAGACGTGCACACGTACTACATGATGGACGGATGCATGTCCAGCCGGAGCTAGAGTGAGGCGCAAACTTCCGCGTAATCTGTCTTGGCAGTCGGCACAGACGCAAAGACAGTTTTTGCCAAGAGATAGATTTGCTTGGCTGGTAGGCAGAGCATGGTTGGACTGGCCCGGCCTGTCTGGCCTTGGAGACTTGCGGCTACATTCAAGCATTTACTGGGTTTATGGGCTCTCTTGTCTCCATCCTCTTCTGTCATGTTCCCTTTGTGGCCTTGATGCTGAGGGTGTCTGCTTGCATGTCGCCGTCTCAGCTGACCAAAGCCGGACTGACAGCTACCGAGCCAGCCTGGGAGAAAGAAATACCGGCCCAGTGCAGAAGCAAGAGAGAATGACTGGTCAAACTGTGTGCACAAATGTGTGTGTGTGTGTG